CCCCCCCCCCAATGAACCATGAAGGCAAGCCAATGGATATCACACAACCAACGTGCAAACTTTGAGTTATGCCGGTGAACGTCTTAATCTCAGTCAATTCACTATAACCTACAGAAAGTGAAAGTAAAAGCGGAATGACGGGCAAAGCTTTCGGCATCTGACGCCACATATTCTCTCAAAGACGACGAGAGACGAATCTACTTCAACATCTGCTGATAACGGTACATAGCTAACTGTTTTTATTAATTCCCTTAATATTTCTCTTGTGGCCCGTACATAGTGAAAAAAAAACATGAGAAACGTACTGTATTTCATGTTAAACAGGTTGCTTTTGAAAGTCGGTGCTTGAAATAGTCTAAAGCTTTTTATTTCATTGATTTTTATTGATGACTGAAGTGTTAATATTTTAATCATAGGCCTATAATTCATTGTATAATAGACCTGTTTTAAAAAGAAAAATTGAGGAGTAAATAGCCTAATCTTTGTTATCCTCGCAGCGCGTCAGTTATGCTGAAACTTATCAGTGGTGAGCAAGGGTGTAACTTTGGTTTGAGAAGTGGGGGGGACACAAAATGGGGGGCAAATGTTTTCGATTGGAATCCCCTTTCCTGCATCTACCTATATATATATTTAGGGACTATGGTGATACAAAATCCAGGAAATAATTAAGTTGATTAATGATCAATTCTTCCAAAAAGAATAGTAGGCTACTAAACTATGTAGGCCTATAAGAAAATATGTCTTACTTTCTTTATTTTTTAATAGGGGCCGATCGCCAAGACTTGAGAGAATCATTTTATAAAGTCGAAAATGTTCACCATTAATGTTCTGAATAATGTTTAAATAATGTGAGACTCAATTTCCACTGTTAAACAAACTTTTATTTCAAACTAACCGCTGTACCTGAAAATATAAAATAAATCACTTGTTGCACAGGACAGAATGTTCTACATCAGTGGTTCCCAGACTTTAGAGGGGAGTACCCCCTGAGGCATTTCTGTTCAGTCTGTTACCTAGCTAGTAATGACTTCACTTAATTATCAGTAAGACACTTAATATACTGACATTGCCACTTGCACACGGCAATTTCTGTAATATTTTATTTATTTACTTTTTTAACTCTATTGCTGCTATGTAACTACCCTGTACAACCTGTTTGCACATTCTTCTCATCTTAATGTTTATTAAGTCTACAGTATACTGTCCTGCGCATTTTATTTTATTCTTATTTTTTAAAATCTTTTTTCCATACCTATATTTATATATAATTTTCTTGTGTTTGTATTCTTTAATAATTGCACTGTCCATGGAGCGGACCTGACTTATATTTCACTGCTGGTCATATATTCTCTATATAACCATGTATGTGACAAATAAAAATCTTGAATCTTCTGCGTAGGCCACCCCCTCTCTTCCACTTAGACTGCACCTTTTCCCCTAAATTGACTTTCCAATGCATTTTTTATCTTTATAAATAGAATATTAATGTTTAAAAACAATAGATTCATAATATGCAATGATGATAAAAAAGTGAAAAGTGATTATTTTAAATACTAAAAGCGCCAGTAGATGGCGATAAGTCACTGTCTTAATGCGTGAGTCATTTGTTCATTCAGTAACTAAGCAAGTGGGTGTATTTATAAATTAATCATTGAATCAATGACTTTCGCGAACGATTCGTTCACGAAATACCGCAAAACTCAGCATTTTGTTCGCGTACCCCCTCTGTCGGCCTCACGTACCCCAGTTTGGGAACTACTGTTCTACATTAAATATTTAGCTAGCAACAGTCTGTTAACGTTAGCTCAGGCAACGTAGGCTAACATAAACAGGTGTAGACAGAAAATATGATTATTCTGACCTGAGCTAATTTACTGAATCAGCCAACTCACATCTCCTTTCTTTCGTTCTTTTCACCCATGATGACATTAAAGTAATCTGTTGCTGCTTCTGGCGTTTCATCGCTGACTGTGCCGCAACCGCGATACCTGCTCGTTACGGGGAAGTCGTGGCCTAATGGTTAGAGAGTTGGACTCATAACCCAAAGGCTGTGGGTTCGAGTCTCGTACCGGCAGGGATTGTAGGTGGGGGGAGTGAATGTACAGCACTCTCTCCCACCTTCAATACCACGACTGAGGTGCCCTTGAGCAAGGCACCGAACCCCCAACTGCTCCCCGGGCGCCGCAGCATAAATGGCTGCCCACTGCTCCGGGTGTGTGTTCACGGTTTGTGTGTGTTCACTGCTGTGTGTGTGCACTTTGGATGGGTAAATGCAGAGCACTAATTCCAAGTATGGGTCACCATACTTGGCCACATGTCACTTCACTCATGTCACTTCACTTATAACTTTCAGTGAGCTATTTTTAGAGTGTGTCTGTGCCCTGCTCGGTCCTGCTCCTCCGTGGCGATGACGGCGTGCGGTTAAAAAAATCATAACAAACTAATTTGAAAGTGGGGGGGACACAAACGTGATTTTGAAAAGTGGGGGGACATGTCCCCAGTGGAAATTATGCCCCTGGTGGTGACTATGTCAAGTTGATATCCATATGGCAGAAATTTACAGTAAAATTAACGCAGTTAGTTACTGACATGTAATCAAACAGACGGTAAACACTATTAACAGCAATGATTATATGTTGCGATTAAACAAACAACACTCATAGCGCACAATGTAAAGTTTATTAGAAAGCTAGATTAAGGCGCTGGGATTGACTCAAGCCCCCCGCGACCCTGCAGAGGATAAAGCAGTTTGGAAAATTGTAGATAGATGGAGGAAGGCCCCAATATAAAAGCAAAATCACAGAACAAACTAGTTTGACATCATTTTGAAAAAATCAGGAATCAGGATTTTGTTTCAGGAGTTTGAAAGACCTCAACAAAGCAAACGTTTCTTTCTGTTAAGTACGTGAGTGGATGGTCCCCATTGAATTCCAGTGTTTTTTTCCCCATACTATGGAAGTCAATAGCCACCAGCAACTGTTTGGTTACCAACATTCTTCAGAATAGGTACTTTTGTGTTCAACAGAAGAAACACATACAGGTTTGAAAACAACTTGAGGCTAAATTTTCATTTTTGAGTGAACTATCCCTTCAAGTATTTGATACAATATACTTATGTATATGCATGTTGGTGCATTTTAAATACATTTAAAGTACTTGTATTTAATTAATGTTTGTAGTTACACTGTTAACTCTGTTAACACAGTAAATCATAGTTTAATGTTAGTACATACTAGTTAAGGCTAGGGTTGTGCTGATACTGCTGATAGACGATAGTATTGTATATCAACGATAGAGATATCGCCTGTGGCTGATCCCTTTGGCGATAATGAGACGATTGTTCATGATTTTATTGTTATTATCAGATGTGCATATTAGGGCTTATTTGTTCCATCATATTTCTTTTTCCTCGTTTTTACATTGTTGCGCATTATAACCAATCACACACGATTCCGCTGAGCTTATGACCGCAATGGCCAATCAGAAGCATTCAGATGAGTCATCGCTGAAGCAGCGGAGTTTTGTTGTTTAGCGCGCACTGAGTGAATTCTAAACTACAAAGTGCAGATGTGCATTCGATGTAAGTATAAGAGATTTATTCATCATAGTAGAGTTTAGACCGCTTCACTGATTATAGCGGGAATGTTTTTTAAAGTGCATAAACTCGCGCTAGACTGAAGTCAGTGATGATGTTCTTTGATTATGTAAATGTTCTTTGTCCGTTTTCTGTAGCTGCTTTTTGAATAACTGAGGAAATGTAAGCCCTATGATTAGTAACTTACAATGTTTCTATTGTTGTGTTAAATTGTCACTTTCTGACAATAAAATAAATAATTTTGCACGATAATACTGTATCACGATCTCACAGGCTGACGATAGGACAATATGACAATTGAGCATACTGCCCAAAACTAGTTAAGGCCACCTAATCTAAAGTGTGAGCAACTTGCCTTCTCTTCTGTTGTTCTGACTAGAGTTGGGAATGAAAATCAATTCCAATTCTAAAATGGGATACTTAAGGTCAGGAATCGGACACTTGTTGTAAAATTTCAATTTCAATTCCACTTATCAATTCCTGTGTGTGCATCTTTTATTTTTAGGTGGCGAAAAGGGGCTGTTAAAAATTTATTTGTCTTTGAATCATTAATTCAAGAGATTCATTCAACAACACTGAATCGTCCAGTAATGAAACGAGTAAATCTTGAGTGAGTCATTGAATCATTCCATGCATAAATTCCATGAGATTTTGTTTAGTTGAACATATTTTCTTCAGAATTGTGAGAGAACAACAACCTCTTTTTTAAACCACATTGGAATCGAAACTGGAGATCGATATGAATCGGAATTGGAACTGATCAAATTCAAACGATACCCAACCTTAGTTCTGAGTGTTACAGCTTCTATTATTCTGGTGTGAGTTTGATGTGAAAGGGCAGTCAGGATGAATCCAGTCATATATGTTGAATGTACTCATCTGTCTGCTAAATGATTCTGAAAGTCCTGGTGAACAGAAGCATCTCTCACCGGTGATGAAGTTGCTGCCGCGGTTCTGGGCTCGGCTCAGCGCTCCCTGCAGGCCCTGCGGCTGCGTGTACATGGAGTAGATGGAGCTAGTGGTCAGCATCTGCGGCTTGTGCAGGAGCTGCCCGCCGGCGTCTTTGGCTCCAGGAGGCTCGGGGCTGAAGGGGTGTATGGTGGCAGCTGGGGGAGCCTCCAGTTTGGAGGGCAGGGGTAAAGTACCACCAGACTGGACACCAGCGGGCGGCTGCTGAGCGGAAGACTTACTCTTCCCAGGGAAGGTGCCGGCCGTCTTGCCGTATCCCATCTGGCCACCAGAGGGAAGGTTGGCCTGTTTCGGTTTAGTTGGAACTGGAGGAGGAACCTTGACGGTGTTCTTAACAGCGCTCTGAATGAAAGGACATATCAAAGTGTCACTAAGGACTTTTAAAGGGGTCATGAACTGAGAAACCAAACTTACCTTGATCTTTTGATATATAAGAGGTCATTGTACTATAAAAACATCCTGTAAGTTTCAGAACTAAAAGCTTTGTCGTTAGTCTAAAAACTAATTAGCCAAACCGACAGTTTTGTGTAATGTTCTACTCTATGATGTAATAGTGTGGATAAGCACCACCTCCGCAGAAGATGATCAACGCCTGCTTCTATACCACTGCCTGTTTAGCCCCGCCCACAGATTCTACATCGCTGCCAGTTTAGCCCCGCCCAACGATCCTGCCTGTTTAGCCCCACCCACCGACTCTACAGTGCTGCCTGTTTAGCCCCGCCCACCGATCCTACATCTCTGCCTGTTTAGCCCCGCCCACCGATCCTACAGCGCTGCCTGTTTAGCCCCACCCGCCGATCCTACAGCGCTGCCTGTTTAGCCCCACCCACCGATCCTACAGCGCTGCCTGTTTAGCCTTGCCCACCGAGCATGCAGGTATATGCAGAAACCAAAAAATGAAGATAGGAACGAAGACAATGAAGACAACAAGACGCTGTGCAGAGCTAAGTTGTGGAAAAAGACTTTGTATCTCCTTCCTTCTAATCCCAACGTTAGGAAAGAGTGAATTAACTTTATTTTTAATGATGAAGTTCCAGACCGCATCAGTAAGAAGTTCACTTCATTTTACCGCGGATTCGTTTACAAACCAGGCACAACTCAATGCGGGATTTTCAGAAAGATTGAAACTAAAACACAATGCTGTGCGACTACATTGGATCGACAGTAATGACGCAACAAGTGTGAGTAACTGTTTTTACTACGTGATCACTATTGCTTTGTCTGTTATTAATGATCATTTAATATGCATTGAGTTATTTATGCGTTTTTGACCTAAATCACAGCAGCGTCCATCCGTGAAGGATGTAGACTGTCAAACATACACAACTGTTAGCCAATCACATTAATTCGGAGTCTACAATCCTCCACATCTATTCAAACAGAGCGTTCTGATGAGGGGGGTTAAAAACAGGATAGAAAATAGCTTTTTACTTCAAAATTATGATGTTTTTTGATGTAAAAATCTTGACATTATAAGTGGACCTCAGAGAACAAAATAAAAACAGAGGCAGTTCATGGCCTCTTTAAATGTCAACCTGGTATAGTTCAGGTTTTAAGAAAGTACTGAACACAAGAGAACTTGTATTATGAAATGCAATTCGATATGACGTCTGGGCACTACCTTGGCGTCTCTCGCAAGGTCCTCGCTGCTCTGGTTCTTCCGTAAAGAAGCTGCCGGTGGATCAACGGACTCAAACATGGAGGCCGGGCGCACCCTGGGGTCCCGCTTCAACACGTCTGTGTTATCTGGTATGGGGAGCAGAAGAATTCACAATACATTTAACTGGGTTTTACACAGACTAACTGGGTGTTACACATCCAATGGGGATGCGAGGTGTGGAGGGTCACCTTGGTTTTTAGATGCCTGGGTCACCATGCGGGGCAGACTGGACGACCCAAGATTACTGCCCGTCTTCGTAGCGGCTGAACTCCAGTTAGACATCTTTGAGGACACCTTGCCTGATCGCAGACCTGGCAGACAGAATTACACTTCAGGCTCATTTTTTTCAAATTAGTCACACAGACACTACAAATCCATTTATACATGACTGCATGAGTGTAATACAGCAGATCATTATTTTATATGCTTTGCAAACGTGCACTTCATGGCTCTCTCGTACACATGCGAGATTCATTTATTCTCATTCGTATCCTCAACATAACTACAGATTCAGTAAAGGAAAAAACTCTGGGGAAAAAAACACAGTGGATAAAGATGTGAAAAGACATTTTAACGATGCTGCACAATTACTTCACCATAAAAGATGGAAGGGGAGAATGAGATGTGTTCAAGTCTAAGTTAGTTATCTTGTAGTATATTTGTTACTTTTGTCTGTTTTGTTAAAGCTGCTAGTTGTGCATCTGTGTAGTATTTTGGCCAAATGCACAAGATTGACACTGTTTTGTACAAAAGTGCATCACAGACAATTAGTGCATCTCAATTAGAACCTAACACAAAAATCAGATCAACATGTTTTTGTATGCATGTTTGCCATCTCTACTGCTAACCTGCGGTAAACATGAAACTTTGGAATTACACATAGAGAATTATATTACCATTTTAATAGTTAGACCACACTAACTGAACACCCTAAACAGACAGCCCAGTTCTCTCGGTTGGGTAAACAGGTGATCTGCAAACCTGAGTCCGGGTGAGTGCTCTTGCCCTGATGTGGTACAGTCGCTGTGTCTTCTGGGTAAGCGTGTTTAATGAGCAGGTCCTGTTTAATGGGGCCCCTGGGCATCGTAGAAGACTGGATGTAAGGGCCGACAGCAGCCACACGGGATGGTCCTGTCTGCTGCGCTGTCTGGGCATCTGAAGGCAACTGGAATAAGAACACATCAGCAGTGAAACCACACACCGATCACGGCAGAACAAGGACAATGTGAAACCACAACGGACTCTGTGTGCCGGATGCTGATCTTACTGTGCACGTTATTCCGAATAATGAGATTTTCTAAAAATCTAAAGCAACAGTAAATCAATTTTGCAAAACAACCAAATGTTAAACAGGTCAAGCACCTGTATCCCTACTTATAAAATCTGTCAAATCTGCCCATGATCCTGCTTTCTTTTCAGAGTCCTAATGGTGTAACATCCTAATGGTGTAGTCATCCATAATGCCTGACTGAATTTGGGAATTTTCCAAAAAAGGTTTTGAAATTTGTCCTCGGGATCATTTTTGACATTCCAAAAGTAGTACTTTTTTGATATTTCAAACAATAATTGAAGATGTAGCTTTGTGTATTTTAATGAAACTTTGTATGAAACTTGTTCTGAAGGCCTCTGTTTTTAAGGATAGCGCCATCTACAGGCCATACGAGGCACAAACAATATACTAAAAACCCTTGCTCTGGCTAAAAATCACTTTAAAACCTTGATTCTTCTGACTCATATGTACAATGTGTTCCAGTAGAAAGTTAACGTGAAAATCTGTTTCTAATTTTCTTAATTTAATTTAAAAAACATTTTTTTAAGCACTCAAGGTTGAACTACATATTTACATTCACAATATCACATGGCCAAAACCCCATAGAACCATTTTATACTGACAACTTTATATATAACAACATTGCATTGATTGTAGGCATGAAGGTATCAAATTTTCATGTTGGCTATAATTGCTAATGCTTTTATCATGGTATACGGTATTACCACAATATTGAAATAGGTTGCAAACAAGTTGTGTCATAATACAGTATAAGAGGTTTAACTTTTTTCGGTCACACTTTATTTTAAAAGGGTGCTTGACTGCGATTTCACTTTTTTAACGTTAGTTAGTGTGTAATGTTGCTGTTTGAGCATAAACGATATCTGCAAAGGTACGACACTGAAAGTTCAATGCAAACGGAGATATTGTCTTTTAAAATTATGGCAGTTTAATGCAACAAAGGAGGCGGGCCATGTTGCACTGCTTTAAAGAGGAAGAGTTGTTGCCTTGCCATCAAAACTAGGGGTGCATGAAAAAATCTATTCATATATGAATCGCGATTCTGTCTTCTAACGATTCTATTGGACTCACAAGTTTCAAAATCAATGTTCTAAAGCAGCGGTTCTTAAAGGGGTCCTATTATGCAATCGAGCCGTTCATGCCAGACTGGGGAGAGAGGTGTTGTAATAATGTAAAATATGTGAAAAATAATGTTTTTCGAACAGCCTAGTATGAGAGTCTGTTCTAGTACACCCCCAAAACAAAATCAAGACTTTGTAAAAGAGCATAATAGGACCCCTTTAATCCTGTTCCTCGCATCCCCTGCTCTGCATCTCTCTCCCTTTCTCTCTCTCTCATTCAGATCATCAGCTCCAATAAACTGTGTTCCAATTATACACTTTATGTGTCAGGGCTTGCAAAATCGCTAGCCTGACGTCCCGGGGCTATTGTGTTTTCCAGTCGGGCTACCAAAATGTATCACCACTCTGCCAATCTTAAATACAGATCTCCCGCGGGCCTAAAGTGAGTTGTATCAAACTTAAGGCCATACAAAGTTTTAAATGTGTTAAATGGTATAAGAAATGTCTTAATTATAATTTCAAGAGGTCTTACAGTTGGGGACGGAAAGACAAGAGTCACGATACGGCTGGATTAAACTTCAAAAGGCAATGAAGTCATTGAATAAATATGAGCGCTGCGTTTCAAGTCAAAACGCGGCGCAGATGTCTTTATTTGAATGTATCTGAAGGGAACCGACTGTCCTCAGAAACGTGTCGTTGCCATTTTAATTTCATTTTACCTATAATTCCTGATAAAGCAGCGTTTATGAGCGCGGAGCTGCTTTGTGTAGAGCCGTTACCGGGGAGACCACAATATATCAGTGCTCCTAAAGCGCCACCTCGTGGCAGAGAATGATTATAATTCCTGATAAAGCAGCGTTTATGAGCGCGGAGCTGCTTTGTGTAGAGCCGTTACCGGGGAGACCACAATATATCAGCGCTCCTAAAGCGCCACCTCGTGGCAGAGAATGATTTTGCATTTACAATAAGACTTTCTTGCTGTTTATGGTCAGATCAATGCAAATATCAACTCATGTTTTTACGCAGCAAACAGAGTTCTAAATGAGAAAGAAGTTAACGTGCCTTCTAAAAATCTAAACAATTAAGACAGTAATATTTATACGTTTTTAAATTGACAATTTATATGCTTGATTTATCCCTTTTCATAAAAATGGTCTAAAGGCTGAAATGCTGTTGTATAAGATTTTTGTGAAAACCTGTATCTGAACTGTAAATCATGTATTTTATGGCTCAGTACTGTATGTAACCACAGACATTGTCCAACCCCACTCATACTGTGTTCATTTTACTTCTGCAGCTCTTAAAATGGGTCATAAATTGCCTTAAATTTATTTAAAAAATTCAGCAGATACCCTGTAAATAGTGAAATAAAATTCCTTCCTTCATATTTGTTGATATTTGTGTATTGAAAATATTTTTGATTGACATTTAAACTCCTATCTGATTTTCTATATTTATAAAAAAATATATATTTTTTTTTATTTGGGCTAGTTAAATTAATTTTCAGTTACCAAAATCTGAAGAGTACCTGCCCGAAGGGCTACCAGGGATTTTGAAATTTTGTGTGTATAGACAGACATTTTTCACATAGCTATGAGAAGCGTTAAACATGGAATGCGTTGCTGTATCGGGCTCAAATTGATAAGCGATATTAACGACGCCGTTGTTTACAATACAACCGGAGCACATGCCGCTGAGGTGAGGGAGCGTGACGTTTAGACGCACACTAGAGGCGGTTTAGCCAATCACAACCCACTGGGCTAGCTAACCAGTCTGAGCCCATCACAAATTTCTGAGGGCGGGGCTTCATAAAAGCAGGAAATCATCAGAGCGTTCAAAGGAGAAGGGACAGAGCAGTGTAGAATAAAGGTAAATTATGTGAAAAATTATGCGTTTTTTTTTTTTTAAACGAAGCATTAACACATGTTAGACTGCACCCCATGAACACAATCAAGCCTAGAAAAAAAAAAAAAGTCAACCAACCCTTTAAGGTCTCATTCTTGCTATTAACTACGACTTTTGTAGGGCTGCTCTCGATTAAAGATTTTTCTGGTTCATTTTAAGAATCAGTCGACTAATCTAATAAACCATTTAAATCATTATAATACGCCTTTAATTGCCTATATAGCCTAATAAGCACTCAAGCACACGCATAAAGCTTTCCACAGCGCACCGGCAGAAGTAATGATTATGAATGTGTCAGGAAAAACAGTAAGGAGGCTGCATTAACATTTTAGTACTTTGATAAACTAGTGCTTTCTTTGTTTTCGGTTTTCGAGAATATTTGTCTTCCATTTTAATTGGTTTATTTGAATTTAGACATATCACGCTCTATAGATATATTTTTAATGTCTGTAAGGCAAAGATATACAATGAGTTTCGCGCTCGAGTTCACAGACCGAGACGGCAGAAAGCGCATCATGTGTGCTTTCATTATTTTACAAAAGCCCAATGTTTTGTTGTTATTGTGAGTGCACACAAATAAACGTAGAGTCTTTACAGATTTGATAGATGTATTACTCTTATGTGCATGAGCAAAAATTATGGAGTATTTTAAGAGCAAACGACAGCACCGGCGCCTCCGTCTGTCCTGCAGTGAGCTACTGTTCAGCTTCCACACTCTGCACAGACACTGAATTGCGCACATTTCTCTCTAGACTAACATTAGATTGCCATGTAAAGTTGCTGCTACTAACATGTTTCAGATGATAAGCCATATTTGAGATCGATTAATGAAAGGTGAGCGTTTGGATGTCCTGCCTGATGTACTGTATTACCACAAAGACCAGCCATTAACGATCTGCATGACTTCACCTGTGGATTTTTAAAAAATTAAAACATTTTCTGCGACTAATACCATTTTGGTCGACCAAGCCTCTTCTGCTCGACTAACGGTTATTACTATAACTATTAGGGGGCAGCCCTAGACTTTTGCCTCAATAAACCCTGGTTATCTGAATGTGCTCCTCTCGAACTTTGTTAATAAAACATAAATTTTTAAGTTGCTTTGTATAAAAGTGTCTGCTAAATGCATGCGTTTAAATGCAGACTTGTAATTCGCATGAATGTATCGGCTGGTGTGAACAAGAGAAATGGCTCACGCTGACAGGAAGGTTCTCTTTCTGCTGTAGGGCAGCTTTCTTCTTCCACAGGCGATCTCGCAGCTCACCGACTCGTCTGTCCATGCTGGCCACCTCCTGGTTCCTCTTGTTCAGGTTCTCTCTCTGCTGCTGCAGTTTAGCACTCTGATCCAGGTTCATGTTCTTCCTCATCTGGTGAACACACACAGGTGAGATGTTTCGAACAGAGGCCTGAGGCTGTGATCTTCACCTTCTGGGCTCTTACCTGTAGATCCCTGTAGAGTCTGTCCAGCTCGGCCACAGAGCTGTGGTTACTGTGAAGTGCATCCAGCTGGCCGTTTTTTAGGGTCTCCAGCTGTTTGCTCAGGTCTTCCACTTTAGACACGGCGTCTACCAGCTCCTTCTGCTTCTGAAGGTGCAGATTGTTCATCTGTTCCACCTGCTCGACTAACACAAACACACACAGAATAACTTCCACTGCCTGAGCTGAAGATCCTTCAGCCTGCACTGAAAACACTGAATGTGAGATGATCGCACACAAGAATATCCAAACAGTCACATGAATGTGGTCATATTTAGATGCCCATGTCTGGAGCCCCACATGACATGCAGACAAAAAAATAGTTATTGTGGCCACATTGTACTAAATCATTGCTTCATTTTATTAATTTATTAACGAGGAAATGAACTAGGGATGTAATGGTGCACTCAGAGCCGGTTAAACATTTAAAACAAATGTGTGACGATTCAAGTCGGTTGAGATGTTAAATGAACGAAATACTGCACAATTGGGGGTTGATTGGAACTGACTATCATCAGAAAAGTTTATAGTATTTTCTTTATCTCATCTCTGTATAATGCATATTAAAGCAGCAATCAAGGAAACACTGTATCGCTGCTGTTCCATAAGCGTCACCTGCTGGCAGACAGTGAAACTGCATTTAGCCCGTCTGCTGTTTATGTTTCATGCAGGTGTTTTATGTAGCATAATTTCACAAAGCTAAAGTCAGACCATTCTCTTTTTGCTTGAGATTTCTAAATTATTCAATCTAAATGATTAACACTACAACTACCGGAATTCTATAATTACTAGAATGGCCATAGCGGCCATTCTGACCGTTCATACTAGACTGAACTGAATGCTATTTTTGTCATATCATATTTACATTTGAAGCTTCTTTTGAGGTTTTACAATGAAGCTTTGAATGTCGGTTGTCATATTTTATGATGTCATCACCCTAAAAAATACTATATTTTTTGTAATATTTAATTGTGTAAGAGCTACATAGACCGCTCCCGAATGTGCGTGTCTCGCTTTGTGTCCGGCAAGCGGGAGAGCAAAAGTTTTTCACCGCAGTGAAAACTTTATATTTGAAAGTCTAAATACCAACAAATATGAACCGAAGCAGATTTGGAAATAATTACATACATCTTTTTTCAATATATTTTTACTTTTGTACTTTACAACACTCTGGAGTTATTGGAAATGTTTGGAGCAGATGAATTGGAAACAATTCTATGCAGCCACCACTGGAATCGTGATCCGTGAATAAAGGGATCTGTTATGATTAGGGCTGGGTATCGTTCAAAATCTTTCGATACCGATACCGATACCGGTTCCTGAACGACACTTTTTTCAATACCAATTTTATGAAATCAATTTTAACAAGATTACATTATCTAAAAAAAAACTTTGGTTTTATTTTTCAGCTTGTTGATATTTATACAAACTCAAAGACTCATCTCCTGAGCCACTGCACAAAGGAACAAAATGTAACCAACACAATAAATCAGTGCAAAATAGTTTTAATATAGAAAGCTCAAATAGTCTTCAGTTTACACATCTGTTAGCTACATTTACACTAGTGCGTGTTCATTTTAAAACGCATAGAAATCATGATTCTGTCTGAGCTATTTATTTTCCACTGATTTACTGATGAGCATTAGCAGCTTCCAGAGCTGTCTGCTTGTGTTCTCTCTTCCATGATCGCTGCTCGGACTCAGAGGTAATAACATATTTAATTTCAGCAACATTACATGGCCAAAACACACATTAGATGGCAGG